TGTTATACATGTTTTTTGACTATGTTAGAAGTTACCAAGGCCATCCCTGAGGGCACAGATAAAAATCAATCTTCAGCTAGCACACATCAGGAAGTTGTTTGGGCAGAGCCATGTAGCAGTAAGACAGCCACTACAAATATTAGATCACGTAGTCCTATTAAGCTGCATAGTAGCTCTGAAATAGGCAAACCTTTAGATCAGGACACCAGTTCTGATGATGATACTGTACCTCACAAATATGGTGATAAAACTGTGCACACGAGGTAACTTAAGAATGTTGCTAAAAAAGCAAAGATTGTTGCACAAAAAGACTCGGAATCGACCGACTCCAACATGGAAATGATTAATGTTTCTAACACCTGCACTGATAAATCCTTACATGTACCTCAATTACAAAACCCAAATGAAGATATGGATACTACATCTAACGAACAACAATCCACTAATGAAAATAACAAGCAAGATGACGTTAATCCAGTGAACTCTAAACTGCCTCCCATCACATTAAATGAAAATAAACTCACATGGGGTGACATTCGTAAGCTTATTAAACAGCGTGGATATGGATATTACAGTAAAACTTCAAATGATAAAATTAAGATTTTTGCACACGACCTTGACAGTTAGGGGTATTATAAAAATTCTCAAGGATGCAGCTGTAGAGCATCACTGTTTTGTATTACCAGAAGAAAAACACATCAAGGTTGTAATAAGAGGTCTTACCTCTTCTACTAAAGTTGAAGACATTAAGGAGGAGCTTAATGCCCTAAATTACGTCCCCTCAGATATTAAACAAATGACACGCCACCAAAAGGGAGATGTTATGAAACTGCCTCTTTTCCTCATTACCAAAAAATGAGACTTCCAAAGGAATCTATTATGAGCGCTATCTAGTGGATTTTAAGGTAAATATTGAAGACTATAAGGGAAGACAGGGACCCCTGCAGTGCTTTAGGTGCCAAGGGTTCCACCACACCCAAACTGGTTGCAATTATATACCTAAATGTGTTCGCTGTGCAGAAGAACACTTTTCATACTTATGCCCTTTTAAAAATGACAAAGATAGAACCCCATGCTGTGCAAACTGCGGTTCTGAACATACTTCAAGTTTTCGTGGTTGTACTAAGTTTCCGAAAGCAAAAAATGACAAACAAAAAACTTACACCAGCAGAATTGTGCAGAACAAGCAGGACTATTCACTGAAAAAATTCAGGAAGCCAAGAAAGTATTTATTGATCTCTCAGAACTCTTAGCAGCTATAAAAACCACTGGTATTCAAATTACACAACAAATGAACGAAATTACCCAACTAAATAAGGACTTCAATTCTACCAACCAAAATAATAATGGGTAGATACAACTACAACAGAGCTCCAATAAAACTTACTGTTTGGAATGCATGTGGCATTTCTAATAAAATTATGGAGCTGCAAAACTTTCTTACTAATTATGATATAGACGTGGCTTTAATTACTGAGACGCATGTTTCATTCATGCAATAACATTAAGATTCCGAATTATATGTGCTACAGGTGTGATAGGTTGAGTCATCGCGGTGGGGGAGTCGCAATTTATGTTAGGCAATCCTTTCAGTCATGTCACATTGCAGACTTCAGAAAAAACGGTCAGGAGATGATCTCAAGCTATCCGTACTTCTCCCTTATTATAGCATAGTGTATTTCTGTGCCTTCTATAACCTGCCTTCGGTTCAATTGGATGAAAACATCTTAAAGAGTTTCTTGCCTTTAAACACGCCCATTATTGTTGGAGGTGATTTAAACACAAAAAGTGAAGAATGGAAATGCCAACATACTAATAAAAATGGTACTAAGTTACATAATTTCATCAAGAATAACACTGTTTCATCTATGCTCCGGAAGATTACACTTATTTTCTAAGCGACCCCAGTAAGGCTGACATTCTGAATTTAATTTTGACTACTTCTTCTATACCCATGTACTTAGAAGTTAAGCAAAAAATGACCTCGGACAATGTCCCAATTATTGCTACTCTTGGTATGACTAAAAGCATCCTGAAGAAGGAAATCAGTTTCACTGATTGGACATTATTCATTCAGCTTCTTAGCAAAAAGTGCAGTGGCATGCCAAAGCTTAAAACTTCTCAGGATATAGACGTTGCTATTGACAGACTTACCAATTCTATTAGTCATGCAATTACCAGTACCACTCGTAAACTCCCGGCCAATCACATGTGGATAGGCTACCCTCTTTTATTCGAGAGCAAATCAGAGAGAGGAATAAGCTCCGAAAAATCTGGAATAAGACTTGGAACCCAGCCCACAAAAAAGAGTTGAATAAGCTATTATTCGAGTCATTAAAGAGAATATTTACAAATTCAGACAAGCCTTTAACAGACAAGCCTAACGGAGGCTTTTGGTCCTTCGTTAAGCGCCTCAAAAATAATTCCACTACGAATAAGTCTATTTATAGCAATAATTGTATTGCATTGACCAACAAAGACAAGGCCGAAATTCTCGCTGATCATCCTGAACAGCAATTTAAAACAAATGACTTACACTGTAACTATAGCTTCATTTATGATGTTCGCTACTTTGTAAAAGACTGGATAAATGCCCTTAGTGTCAGAAACAGGACTCAGTTCACCACCTCAGCAGAAGTGCAGGATATTATCAAGACTCTGAAGAAAAGAAAAACGCCTGGGCATGACATTATCTTGAATATGGCCATTAAGAATCTTCCCCACGATATTATTATTCATTTTATAAGCATAATCAATGCCAGTTTAGAAAATTCTTACTTCCCGTGTGCTTGGAAGCTTGCCAAGATCATTCTACTACCAAAACCAGGAAAAGAGATAACCAGACTGAATGGCTACCGCCCTATTAGCTTGCTCTCGGGCATCAGAAAGATTTATGAGAAAATTATCTATGCTCGCTTGCAACCCTAATTTAAGAGACTACCTTTGGAACAATTTGGTTTCAGAAAAAGCTTATCCACGACCAAACAATTAGTTAGACTCACCGAGTTTACTGGCAGCACTTTATATAACAAGGAAAGTGTTGCCTTACTCATGCTGGATGTGGCAAAAGCCTTCGACCGCATCTGGCATGAGGGGCTCATTTATAAGCTGATCCAGCTAAATTTTGACTGTGAACTAATTCTGCTATTGTTAACAGAAGATTTTATGTCTCAATGGGTCAGGACATCTCTAGCCTCAGAAGAATGTGCGCCAGTGTAGCGCAGGGGTCCATTTTAGGACCTATTTTGTATCTTTACTACGTGATGGACTTACCTAAATTACAGAATGACCACAACACTTTTCTTGGATGCTATGCAGATGACACTCCATTAGCGATTAAATCTATCCGTCTGACGCACGCTATTCAAAAACTGCAGAACTTCATACCTAACATTGAAGACTGGTGCATCAAATGGCGTGTCGCAATAAATGCTCAAAAGTCACAATTAATGATTATCAGGAGAATGCAAAGAAAAAACTATTATTGCTAATCTCAGTCTTTTTAATGAGATGATTCCACTTGTAAAGAAGGCAACTTATTTAGGAGTTGTCATCAATCATAAGTTTACCTGGTCAGACCATACTGGCAAGGTCAGATGTAAGGCTTTGTATATTATTCACCAATTAAATCCACTGCTAAGTTCAAGCTCGAAACTCAGTCTGGTCAAAAAGAGGCACATCTACACTGCTGTTATTAGACTGGTGCTCTGTTACGCCTCACCAGCATGGGCCACGGCCTCCAACTCAGAGATAGCAAAAATTACAGGTCACCCAAAATAAGTACCTATGCCGCATTACGAATGCCCACTACTTTGTTAGCAACAATACCTTGCATAAAGATTTAAAAATTGAGTATATGGATGATTACCTGCAGATTACAAATGGAAAATTCTTTGCTAAAGCACGTGAATGCATACATCTAAGCTCTTTAAATGTTTTTAATTATGAAATTCTGCAAGAAGACCACGGTATTCGCCACCTCATGGCTCACCTCACCCGAGATTCTAATTTCCCCACCTAAATACTGCACTGTATATAGTATTGATAGTGTATATAGTTCAGGATTTCACTTTGTTTTTTTTTTTATGTCTCAATTTTCTGTTCTAAGGGTCTAGAAGTTACAACTCATTCAAAATTTTGCCACAAATTAAATTATTGTATATACCACCCCTCAAAGGGTTAGATTAAGAAAACATTACTACCAAAAGTAAGTTACAGAAGCACATTTTATCTTTATCTTGGCATAACTTGCATATGATTTGAAATATAACCGCTAGGGTTGCCATAAAACATGTCATAGATGGTATTATTCATTTATTAATTCAATTTAGAAAATACTAGTAATTATAGAAATACTAGCATATACTTACTAAATAATTATATGAATTATTAATTATTTCTATAAGAACGCAATAAATAAATAAAATGAAACCATTCTTTATTTTGAGACCTTCTGAATATTTCTCCAGCAAGAAATGAATAAAACCAAATTAAACAAAAAACTGAATACTTATTTTTTCTTTCAACTTAAAAAAAATTATCCTTAAAAAGCTTAAAAACACAAAACTTTGCTACAAAGAATAAAAGTCCACGACCAATTTAAAACAAAGATTTTATATGAGGTTTCAAACTTTTTATAAAATAACCCACAATTGCCATTCAATAGTTTTTAAAGGATGTGAATAACAAACAATTATTAAAATAGATTTTATCCATTCACCAATGCTATAGTTATCATTTTAGTACAGCATCTGGATCAAACATGACTTTTCCTTTCATAGTTTTTACATTGTGCACTCTCAAAAATCAAGAAACCTAAATCAATAAATTTATACCAAAATTTATTATACCCAAATTTGTATAGCAGTTTTAAACCCAGAACATTTTGCAGATTAAAAATAAAATATAAGAATCAATTTTTAGCATTTCTGTTCCTTTTGTACAAATATAACCTCATAATATTTTTACTAATATAATTATCATTATTAATAAATATTTACCTTAAAATACTCTAATAGTTCTTTGCAAGTTATTTTTTTCCCATTCACTTCTTTCAAAATCAAATTTTCTCTTGCTAGTAGTAGAGGGATTAATGTTTTCAGGTTTTCCTTAAAATTATCAGCAATATCTAAAATTAAGAACAAAAGAATTTCATTGTGAAAAATCAGAAAGAAAACAAAATTCATTATGTTAAATATTAATTCTCAAGATATTTTTCTTTCAACATAAATTTCTATTTTATGTATAATATGATGATAATATTTTAGAATATATATATTCATTACCAGAATTTACTACATAAAGATCTTTTTGCTGTTGTAAAAGTTGGAGTGAGACAAATAGGGAAAGATTAAGGATTTTCATTCCAAAGTACAAGTTTAGATAGTTTTTAAGGACCTATGTTGTTTTCATAAAATAGGACAAATTGTATTGCCACTGATACAAATGAAAGCTTAGAAATATTCTTTCCAAACACATTAGAAATCTGAAGTGTCCAGCATTTTAGAGCTCCTTGACTGCTGACAAAAATGTACCTAACGTTGCACTCTTTGACAAAAAACATGACAAAGGATGCATAAAGAAATTCTGTTTAATAAGGACCAACATATAACCTTATATTATATTCACTTTGCAATCTAAGAGGCATCTGTTAGAAGAAATCTATAACATAAAGAGAACATTTTAAATGTGAACACTGGTTTGGTTTCTGATACTGTTGCTATCCTCATAAAATTAGATAAAACAATTCCGATTAAGACTATTAAAAAATTTGCCTGAAATTTTTGTTGTTTAATCTTTGGATGATTCATACAAAGGAAAAGCTCACAAATGTACACAATTCCAAAAAAGAGACATCACAAACTGGGATTGTAGATGAAATACTGGAAATATTTCTTTACGTATGTATAACTTGAAAATGTTCACTTAAATAAATTTTCTTACTCTTTCATATCAAACTGCGACTGCATTCCAGTAGCGTATTTGCATGAAAATACTCTGTCAACTGAAAATGAAGTAGAAAACAAGTATACTGAAATGCAGTTGATGGTTTCTGAAATCTTAAAATCCATTCTCAAAGTGTTCAGATAATATAGTAGCTAATGTTATATACTTGTACCAACTTACTTTTGTCCAGCCAGAGTGCAAAAGTGAATTAATTGTGCTGTAGCTCCTAATGTAAAAATAATGGTAGACCAAACAGATCTTGAATGTTTTTACTCTTTGAAACATCATTTATTAGTTGGTTTTGGTCATAAAGATGAATGATGAACTCAAGTAAAAACAGCTATTTTAAAAACCATCCAACTAGTTCTCTTATTTTATAGTTCTTTAAACTACTCTGTCACAAGTTTTTCAGTGTGGACTGTCATCCTGATATGTGAATACTTCATTAGGAAATGATAATGGTGGACAACAACTGTGTAGACATGGTTCTTCAGAATAAATGTATCAATAATCCTCAGCAATGAAGTGATCACCAAGAACTATAACTATTCCCTGACACTTCCATGACATTATGCTCCAAATTCCAGACAGTCCACCTACATTTTTCAGTTTGAGCATGCAGCTGAGGAGATTCTTGATATACAAACTCTCTAAGGAGTGGAAAAGATGGTGAAGGTTGATTCATCACTGAACAGTACACATTTTACATTGCATACGCTCTAAATTTTCCACTTCTAATGCCACCTACACCAGCATTCAAACATGTGTTTAGGTTATAAATGGCTTTGCTATAGCTGCCTTGCAGTGGATATTACACTTGTGAAGCTCTCAATGGGCAGCTTTTGTAAAAATGGACATGTATGTTCATGAAAATGCCAAGTTCTGCTGCCATTTGATTAGTCACTGTTTTACAGTTTGTGAATACAATTCCCTTTAATACTCTAATATTCTAGAGATAACTTCCTCATAACATGACAACTAGATTAGACTACTACTCATAACTACTTTGATTAGAGAAAGTTCTTTGTTTTTGGAGGTACACAGACTTGAGCCTAGATACATAAAAAAGACCCACAGTCTTCATAAAAAGTACATCAGCTAGATGAGCATAAAAAATCTGTCCACTTTTTAACCTATAAATTAATTCTAAATAGCTGAAGTTCAATATTTCTAATACTGCTTAAAATTTAAGGTTCACACTCTACTGTTGTCAATGAAATTTAAAATTATTCAGGGTTTCCAAGTGGATATTCATATACTGGCTTGAAAGTTTTAGTGTCATACCTGTAATATTTTTCAGTGTCAATGCAAACCCTAAATAAAAGTTATAAGCAGAGCTTTACACAGAGCAAATGCAAACCATAAAGTGATTGGTGAGCTTTTCAGATCTTAGTGAACAGACAGCAACTCATAACTTTATTCTCAAGCAAAATTCCAATATCATGGGATTATTCTTAAAACTAATAAGTGCTAACAAAAAGTTATTTTCATTTCACATATCGTCATTACTATTAAAACTAAAATTCTGATAAAAAATTGCCCCTCATAAGAAATCCAAACCAATCAGAATAACTTAATTCTTTTCCCCTTAAATTTTATTCTGGTAAAAGAAATCCAATGCAGAAATAAATTTCATGCAGACTGTTTAGAACTAAACTTTACAATTCATCCCAATTATACAGTATTTTACACATAACAAATCATATAATAATATACTTTTGAAATTCGTTTCATAAATTATCTGAATTTAAAAACACTTAACCTTCACTTAAAAACAATTTTTTTTTTTTTTTCATTAGAGCATGCACATATTCAACAGAGATTTTATTTTGCAGGGTAGAAAGGGGCCATTACTCATAACTTCCATTTATCCTTGTGTCTTTTCTACCATAAGCATGGTTCTAATGATTAAAACAATTCATTTAATATAATACCGCACTATAAAAAGAAAAGCAATTTTTGATAACTATTTTAACTCATTATTCTAATGCAAAAAATATGATCAAGTTTCATAAAATGATAAATATTTGATAACATACCTGAAAGCCTGCCATCAAAATGAGGATTAGTGGCTACCTTTAGCCCAGGATGGGGTAATAAGAAACATGATGTGTCAGCAAAACAAGCACGAATGTGTTTTCGGAGTTGCTGAAGCTCTGGATGTTGTTTTTCTGAAATCTTTTTGCAAAAGAAAGAGTATAGCATTATACAAATTATTAACTGACATTTTTGCAGGAGAGTTATTAAGTAAAAATTATTTGAAATTTAAATACAAAAACTGCATTAAATTTTAAACTTCAAAAAATTTTTTAAATATATTTTGGCCATATCACATTTTAAAGATGCCCAAATTATACTAACATAGGTGAATAATATATGCATTAACAGGAATGTTTCTTTTTGATATTTTAATATATTGTTAAGTTATATTATTCCAAATTTCAGTTTTGAACACTAAACTTTGTAACTATATGGAATTTTTTATCAAAATAAAATTTTATGTTTAATGAAATAAAAATAAAATGACATATTACAGCAACATTCCAATGAATAATAATTTAGAAGATAACTGCTATTTCCATTTGTAATGCATTTTAATACAAGCCCAGTTTCAGTCAGTTATACCCCATTAACCATCAACAGAATTTGCATAAGGATACACATCTCTCACGTTATTGTATATTTCTACTTCCCAACTATAGATACACAATATTTAAAGATCCCCTGCCCCCCCCGAAAAAAAGTCAGATAATTTAAAACATATTTTATATGGTTTTTATTACCATTTATATTTTAGTATTAACAATTAACATTGCGATGATTATTGTTCAATGCTATGCCTATTTAATATTATTTGTTATCCTTATGGGCAGAAGCATGTAGTAGATGTAAAATGAAACAGCATTCATTCTTCCATTCATGTCAGTTTGAGTAACAGCTATTATGAGAGTTTTCACACTCTTAATGAAACTATGTACAGTATTTTAATATACAGTCAAAAGTCGTTAATTCGGACACCCGTAATCAGGAATGATCTATAATCCGGACCTCAAAGCTAAAAACTTTCTGCGTATGCGCCGCATTGGCACATGCGTTTTACGTGGGTGCGTAAGACCCTGACTACTGCGCATATGCGTGTGTGATGCTAAAGCAAAGTTTAAAGTTTAAAGAAATTAAACATTTAGCAGTAGTAGCAATGAAAAGCTTCCTTGAGATATGTTGTGCAGACATTGAAGACAATAAAAGATTTTGAACTTAACCAATTTATTAACAATATAATATAGAATAAAAACACAAAAATAAATATCAACAATATTAGAGTATTAGGAAAAACATAACATAATCATCATTCATTAAATATTTTTACCTGTACTCCAAAACACTGGCATTCTATACAAACAAAAACAAAAAATGAAAATGTCCTAAATAGTGACTATGCAGCCTAAAAAATAAAGCTGGCTACCCATTCAATAAGTCCATAATCAATGGTCAAGAAAACACCTGAAAAATTTAAATGTGAAACCACTTAAACCGGCCTAACTTCGTTTGCACAAGGAGTCGTCGCTGCTCACGTATTTTTAATTCTGCCCTCAATGAAGAAACATGGACGCCGCCCACGGCAGTCACTCACAGGATAGCCCCCGGAACCGAAGAACTTCAATCTGGAACCATCATCTCGCAAACTGGAATCAAGGCATCCTTTCACCGGACTGCAGGCATCCTTTGGAAGGGGCTGGAAACCGCTCACTTACCAGCCGGGAAACCAGGAACTAGAAGGGTTGAGCCTATTCTATTCTATTCTATTCCTTTCACAAAAATGGCCTTGGCTACTAAGAGCCTTAATCCATTCAGTTTGCGTCATGCTTTACAGCCGGTTAGTAGAAGAAATAGTGGTGTATGAACACCCGCACAGAGGCGAAAATTTACAGGATTTAATCCTGCAATTGTAGATGAAAAGGAGATAAGCAATTGGCATTGGAAGCAATTTAAAACGGCAATGATCTCAGATCTCGTGTAGTCAGTTGCGGCATAACGGTCAGGTCAGAAAAGGCAGTCCTACTACATCAGCATCCACTCCCTGAATGAGGGAGGAGCACTCAGAATTGTTAGCAGCAAGTAGAGAACCACGTGATGTGGATCAGCAAATCATAGAAGTTCTTTTTTACAAAATTCTAATTTGACCAGAGTGGTCACATGATATGTACAATTAAATGAAAACTTGAATAACAGAAAGTAAACTTGAATAAATGAATTCTTGGATAAATGGAAAAAAAATATTTACACTATTTACATATTTACAATCACCATCTTGGATTGTGATGTATTGTACGCGGTCGTTTGACCGTGTATTCAATAGTAGGGTCATAATCAATGATGTTCTGAATAGCCTGGTATTCACTATTCCTAACTTTTTTCAAAGAAATTGTGGGATATAGTGAGAATGTGATCCATAAGATCAGGGATTTTAAGATCTTTTTGAATATCTTTATTCCTGACAAACCAGGGCGCGTTTGTAATTGATCGTAATATTTTGTTTTGCAAAATCCCGATCTTTTTCCTTTCATTCTTATTTCCGATGGCCCAAGCAGGGGCGGCATATGTTAGAATCGGTCGGATGAGAGAGGTATATAATACTTTTTTAGTGTGTAAATTAAGTTTAGAGTTTCGCCCAATAAGTGGATAAATAGCCATGTATGCAGAATTCCCCTTATTTGCTATGTACTGGAGGTGGTTTTTGAAGTTTAGTTGTTTATCAATATAGACACCCAGATATTTATATGCATCACTATGCGGGATAGGAATGCTATTGATTTTAATTTCAGTGTTGACATTTTGCAGTTTCTTATATCTTCTATAGAGGACAGTATTACATTTATGAGCGTTGAGATTAATTTTCCAGATAGAACACCAGTGTGCTATATTATTAACGTACATTTGAAGATTGTTAATGGCAAGTTGGGGTTTTATTGATTCCGAGAGGACTATTGCATCATCGGACGTCTGCTAGCAGAAGTAGGAATGACGTCATCTCACGGCAACCAATCAGCTATCGGCACGAATCGGCTTTTCAGATGACGTAAATCATGTTTCGTTTTTGCATCTCAATTAGGTTGAAACAGTCCGTTCTCAATGCAAACAGTGGCAGCAAGAAAAGAAGTAGAAGTAACTACTATATTATATTAAAATAAGGACTAAACTAATTAAACATTTCAAGGAGGAGAGATGATGCAGCAAAAGGTTTAAAAATAAGCTATATTTTCCAACAGTGTGCACAAGTGCAGAATACGTTTTCGCCTGCGCGTTTAATGTATAACGGACGGTTGAAGCTAAAATTATCAAATTTAGTTAATGTCAATGATTGCGTTGTTCCTTAATCTTCGAATTGGATCCCGCTTATTATTTTTTGCAGACTGTAAGAGCAATTTTATAAAAGTAAACTTGAACTTTCGATTATGTCAAATAGAATTTCCGATGCTGGAACTTCCAAAGGATCTACAAAACGAAAGTATGTTTCGATGTCCAACAAACAAAAGTGCAATTGCTGCCAAAAAATGGATAAAGACATGAAGAATGTGACAGAGAGGTTAGTGAAAACGAAAAAATTTCGATTGACAAGTTAGTCGGTATTCTCGGCACAGCAATTAACGAGACTTGAACAGCGAACTTTGTAACTGAACAAGAAATTATGTCTTTTTATAGAATTAAAGAGAAAGTATTATCACATAAAATGAAGCAACTTAAACAACTTACATTAAGAGAAATATTTAATAAAGTAAACAAATAAATATTAAGCTTTTTTTTTTTTTTTTTTTTTTTTTTTTGTAAATTTTGATACCCTTTAGATCATAATTGTTCTTTATTTCATAAATTACGGTTTCATATTTTTAATTTTAGAATTTCTGCATGCCATCTTACGAGATTTAAACTGATGATCTATAATCCGGAAAAATCGATAATCCGGAATCTCCAAAGTCCCGACGAGTCCGGATTAACGACTTTTGACTGTATTAATTTTTTTACATTAATTTTAGCTATATTCATGTTATCTAGCTTTCAAATATGACTATTCAAAGATAATAATTGAAATTTCTTGTGTGGCATTCCTTGTCATATTTGAAATAGGCTGTGAACAGCAGTTAAGTTTCCTATCAATCCACTGATTCAATATGGAAAAATTGTTTAATAATAACAAGAAGAATTATTATTTCAATATCATTCCTACTGCACACTACATATTGGCAATAAACTCTTGATACAGTTTATATGAGTGAATCATTAATGTTACTCATGCATGTAACATTTTAGGGCAAGGATCATCATGCATACAGTAGAGCTTTAATTATTCGGATTGCAGAGAATTGCTTATTCTTCTTTTAAGCCCACTTGCATTTAAGTTCATTCTTAATTCATTGGCGTACTTTTAATATTTTCATTAATTTAATTCATATACTAAACTAGATACAATGAACATATGAAGACATTTGTTTATGAGTACTGCATCATGAAGATATTTATCATAAAATAACAACAAAGGAATATTTTGATAACAAAACTGTACTAAAAAGAAATGTATATTGTATTATTTTAGTAAAGTCTGAAATTTGGACATCCAGTATTTAGAATGATCTAATACTTGGACCTCTGGACCGGCAACCAAAAAAATAATTAATTAAAAAATTCTTTTACAAATTCTAGGAATGGAAAATATAACGAAACTGTTACAGGTGTACTGCTAATGTGGTTTTTCTCCAGACTAACTGGAATTTCTGCACATTAATTTCAAACACCTGCTGGCTAAGGAGTTGCACCATAGCTGATAAGAATACATTAGTTGACGTTTTATCGATGTTGGCCAAGACCACAAAACTTTCAGCCCTTGAGTGACTGTGGAGGCCAGAGCTGGCACTATGCATTTTCCCACCCGGTGCTATCCCTGTGAGTTCAAAATCCTGCTACTCAGTTCTCACTTTATCTTACTACCCAGTGCCTCTCCTAAATTCTAAAAATTCTGGCATCAATAATTTTTGCTGTTTGATGCTCCTCTAAATTCTAAAATTTTCACTGCCCCTAAATCTGACATTCAATGCGGCCCCACCAATTGCACCTGCCCTGATGAACCTGCACCTGATCTGTGGGAGCTGAGCATTTTTCTGTCTGACCTAAACAAGTGAAGCCCCCAATGTTACCATGTCTACATGTCATCTTACTAGATTTAGACTGATGATAATCAAGACTACTTATTTTTATATCTTAACAAAAATACTTTCAAGAAATAAAAAGCAGTGAAGAAGCATTTTAATTTATTATTTCTAAAAAATTTAATATTTACTTACTGTAAGACGTTTTTCTAGAATTTTTTTACCACCTTGTAAGCCATAAGGTGCTTCATAAGGGTAGCTCCAATCTCTCACAAGAAAAAGCAGCTTCTGAAATGATAAAATCGTTTGCTATGCAAAAAATAACGAAAAAATTACCGACATTGAGAAAAATACACATATTTATGATATATTCTGTATTTAAATTAAGTCGCCAGGAATAATAAATTCCAAAACCTTAATTCAGTTAATATAAATTTGTGCATTAATAAAATACTAACTAATAACATGACAGATAGAAGTCAGCATGATATTTATCAACATATCTCATTGGTTTTAGTTTTGGATTCATTAGTTTGGTTTTGATGTTTACATAAAGCCCAGTCTACTTTACATGTTAGGGTAGTGATGGTCAACTCCTGTGCACACTAAACACATTTTATATTGGTTATCAAAATTAAAGGCTAATGAGAAAAAGTATACTCACTCAGTTAAAGTTGCAACCAGTGCCCAATGCTGTAATTATTTATATTAACTAAATGCAACTCAACACAAAATTGCCCTTCTGCACATATGTTAGTGCCAGAACCAAGCAAATTCGGTGATTGACAATGTAATGCGCAATGGACACATGTTGGGATTCCGGTCTGTAGTGTTGTTTAAAGGGAATGTGGTTTCTGAGAGTGATCACTATTCAGTAATTATGGCTCAAAGGCATCACTTAAGGGAAGGTCAAAAGAGGCGAATAATTGGTAGAATCGAGAGAGATCAAACACATGGTGTTAGCCCCAGACTTGAATTTCCCTCAAAGCATCATGTCAAGAGTTTAGAGGCATTTTTTAAGCACTGGATCAGTTGAGAGACAGCCTGTCAAGGGCGACTAAGAGCAACAACTGCATCAGAAGACCATTTTCTGTCATTGTTAGCTCAAAGAAACCACAAAGTGACTATAAGAGACCTAGTTTTAGGCTGCCACAGGAACTCGAATTTCTACTGCTGCAAGAAGGCTTATTGAGGTTGGATTGTATGCGAGAAAAATAATGGTTTGTGTCCCACTCACTCCAATTTCAAAAGGGGCCCATTTAAACTGGTGCCATCATCATGCTAAATGAAACCAAGACAAATGGGTCCAAGCATTGTTCACTGACGAGTCAGATATAATCTGAATAGTTATTTTAGGCTTATTTTGATCTGGAGAGAGGAAGGATAGAAGGAAATAGGGCTTGGATTAACAAACATCCTTTTTCAGAAAAGACACCATTTCAAATTTTCATTGCTAACAATTTAAAAAATATAATGATATTGAGAGCAATTTAAATGTTAGTTTCAATTTTCATTAAAATATTTATGGCCTTAAATTTTCAATTTTAAAATGCAACATAGTAGTATGTCTGTACTTGCGGAAGTTCTAAGAATATCCACAGATAAGAGCAAATGCTACATGTACCAGGACATTAGTATAATTACTTACATTTATTTGTATTTTTTTAAGTTTTGTAATATGCAATTAACATTCGTTAAGTAGGACACAGCCAACAATAAATAAAGTAATAAACAGAGTATTCCATACTCTGCTATATATTATGCATTATTAAAGAAAATATAAAAAGGTGCAGTAAAATATATTGTATGCTAAAAAACACTCTTTCCTACCTATTTTAATTTAATCTGGAAAAAGGTCTAAATTTACCTATTTTAATTTAATCTGCCAAAAACGAGTGAGAAATAAAAAAATATAGTTTTTTTAAGAACTTTTAGAAGCATGAGAACTGTGATAACAAACACATCAATAATGAGAATATTATGAATGCTAGAAGCAAGAGTGGAAGACAATTTGAAAAGCAGCAGCATGGCTATGGAAATAAAGACAAATCAAACACTCTCTGATCACTGATAGGTCATATTCTCTACTTATGTAGTTATGATCATCAAGTTGGGATGTGAGATAAGAGTTTGAGGCATTTCTTTTAGCCAGAAAATTTAAATAAGGCTCTGCTATGACCATTAAAATTCTTAATATTTAGTTAAATCAGCTCAACTAAGGGTGCAAACATATGGGGAAAATATGTCTGAGATTTAACCTTATGCCTATGTTACAAACCACTGTCATTTCAAAATTCATAGGAAATTTCTTCCTCCACATCTTTGATTTGTGGAGTGAAAGTATGGATACTGAATTAGCAGATATGGAAGCGTTAAGTGTACAGGCTGATTATAATTATTCAAATGACACCACAAAGGCATGTAGAAAGGAGGGAGAAAATACATCATAAATTAAACACAGTAAACCCTCTCTACCTATGGTTCCAAACAATTCTTGTCTTTTGTATAAAAGTCTTCTTTGTATTAATATGAAAGTGATTTAAAAAATATTTAGGCAATGAATTTTTTTAATTTGTCCCAAGTGTTAAACTAGACAACTCAAAAATATTGCGGAGTTCGGAAAAAACACAGAATCTGTTACTTTTAAATAAAGAAACACATTAAGAGGAAAATGATCATGTTTATAAACCTTAGAATAGGCAAATTTTATCTACAATATAAAAAGCTGAACATTTTCTATAAGGATTCAAAAGCAACCTGAAGCATTTTTTACACAAGAGGATAGTAAAAACAGCTGATTTGCATTGAAATAATGAATGGCCTTAAAACATACATGAAATGAAAAGATGATGAAAATAAGAACAAAACAAGTATTGAATTATATAATATACATTATCTCAAACATTAAAAATCCTCTCTCTCTCAAAAAGTGAAATATATTAAAACTCAGACTTTTCCTGATTAATGTCAATAAAGTTAAATTTGAAGTATTAAAATATCTTTGGAGAGCATAGTTAAAATTTAGAGTGTCAATTAAAATATATTGTATGGATAGCAGGCCATTACAACTTGCACTCTCACCTGCGTGATCTTAGAGTGACCTATCCTTGGTCAAGTTGAAAGAACAACTTCCTTCTTATTCTTGCATGATTCCCATCTCTCTACTGCAGGTTTAATGCTTTGTAACAATTATTTATCTCAAAGTCCAAAAACTTTTGTTCTTTGTTTAGGTTTCTCTGTTTGCCTGTAACTTTTATGTCTGAAAAGGTAACAAGTTGGCTTAACACTTCGATATCATTCTTTGCCATTATATCTCCTAGTTCACTGCTTTTTATTCCCAGATGTCCCAGAACACAGCAATAAAGAATTTCTTAGAAAGTCTCAGCTTTTCGGTTTGGTTCAAAATGTCAACTAAAGCCTTGCCTTCATTACAAGGAGCTGTCAGGCAATTTAATGCACTGGATGAATTAGAGTAAATGACGAGTTTTCATAAGCACTGTTTAGATATTAAAGATAACGCATAGTCAATAGCTGGTAATTCTCAAGCGGATACAGAGCAAACCTGGTACAGTTGAAAACTGACAGATGAACTCTGAGGTACCAAAGTTGCACCAACAAAGTGTCGGGCCTTTGAACCATTCGTATCAATTGGCCTGATGATGAATGAGATCTAATTTCAGGAACACAGAAGACCATGCAGATCTATAAATAATTTATTCATACTCAATTATAGATCGAACAAGAGCTCCATAAATGTAAATTAGAGAAGGCCAAACTGTTCCCCAAGATGTAATGCATAAGACATTCAGAATATATAATTTTTTTATATATGATTTCCTCAAGTTCAAAATACGAATGAAAAAATTTAGTTTCTTGTCAAATATTACACCTAAGAATTTTGCTTCATGTGCAATGGGATTTGGCGTGACTCTCAAGTACAGTTCAGGATCTGGATGAAGATTTCCTCTGTGACAGTACAGAACACTGATGGTCTTCTGGTTTGAAACTTAAATCCATTACATTCTGCTCATTTAGTAATTTTATTTACAGCTATTGGTAATTGTCTCTCAATAAAATGCAGATCTGCACTTTGACAGATAATTTAAAAGTCATCTACATATAATGCTACATTGACAGAAGGAGGAAGTTTGAGAATAGAATTAATTATTAGACTGAAAAGTGTTACACTCAGCACACAGCCTCGGGGCATACCCTCATCTTAAGTAAACAGATTTGATAGCAAAGAACCAATTTTAACATCACATTAGATATGGTAGATGGTTTCTTAGAACTGTCTAATTTTCATTGTCATTTATACTAACATTTTCATTGCTTGAATTAGCCATAATAGAAAGAACAGAAACAGTCTTAATGAGGTGTCTGGTAGAATGCTTAGTCCCAAGCTAAAGTGTAACTGACCAGCCAATGGACACTTAAGAGAACTATATTACACTGACTAAAAAAATTAGACAGTTCTACACCACTGGCATTAAAATTGCAACACCATGAAGGAAAGCAAATAAAAAAGAAGATATTTATTGCACATAAACAGTATGGCATTAAGACAAAATGATTAAATTAATTTATAAGCAGTTTGGAGGTTTACAGGGCTACGATATTAGTAGAAACAGCTACCATCTCTGGTAGCTAAAACAGCACTTGCCCCATTAGGCTGGACTTGGATGAACTTGGTCAAACTGGGCTTGGATGATGAAAACGGGCAACTCATTCCATGTTGCTTCAAGTCTATGCCACACTTTATCCACCACATTGGCTGGAGAGGGGTGGCCGGCCAGCCTCTTAGTAACCTATGACCAAATATTTTCAACTGGTGACAGATCTGGAGACTGGGAAGGCCAGGGCAGCAATCGAATACCCTGTGTATCAAGGAAGGTCAGAACACAACGTGCAACATGTGGTTTTGTATTATCTTGTTGGAAGACAGCGTCTGGGGGCCTCGAAAATAGGGCAGAACCACTGGACGTAAGTTGTCAGAAATGTACCGATCTGTGTTAAAACTGTTGTTGATCTGAACTAGACATGTGCACATCATGTACCCAATGGATGCCAAAATGATCACACCAGGGCCAAGACCCCTGTGCCAATATTGAATGCAAGTAGGCGATGCGTGGTCTCCTCGGACACTCCAGACATGTATACCACCATCAGAATACTGCATACAGAACTGGGACTTGTCTGAAAAGGTGACATTGTGCCAGTCTTGTATCCAGCTTTGCGTTTGGTGCACCAGAGATGCTATCTCTCTCTATGCTGTATTGTCATGGGAA